TGGCCCAGAAAGTTAATGGAAATGTCCCGAGGTTGAGAGCAGTCACGGGACTTCTGAGAATAGGTGACCCAAGAAAAGCCAAGGAAACAGGGAGGCTATTCTGAGAGAGGAATAAGGGTTGCTTTCTGCTTCTGCCCGCCTCCAGTAGCCCACCATGGACTGGGAGAGGGTTCACATGTGTGATGGAGAAGGGAGTGAGGGACAGCACTGGAATCCCCCAGGATCCAGGACTGGAAGAGACTCAGGGAGAATCTAATCTGACCTCCTGCACGATGCCCTGCCTGCCGCCCCTGGGCACTGGAAACCCGGTACCACCACTGGTGTCAACATCTCTGGTGACAGGCAGCTCACGGCATCCTTGAAAGCCCACATGCCCAGGCAAATGGCAGGTGCCACGGTAGCAAAAATGAGGCCTCTGACCAAGCTCGGCACTAGGCAGAGGGCAAGGAGGGCACCGTAAAGAGGGCTGCTCCCGTGGCCACTGCAGACTTCCAGCCGTGCCTCATCTTCCTCAGCTGAGCAAACAAGCTTGTGTGACTAAGCAAACCTGGCGCCTGGTGACCGAGGGGACGGGCTGTGTTCTTCTGGGAGGGAAAGGGCCTTTGGCTTGCAGCCTCTGCCCTGTCTCGGGTGTGGGCACCCCTCAAGTCCATCAAGCAGTGAAAGGACTATGCTGCCGCCCAAGTACTACTCCTGCTGGGGCCGAGCACGGGTGGAAAGGGGGGGGCCCGGAAGGAGGGCTCCAGCTGGCCCTCCACTGGGTGTCACCCACCAGCGCTTCGATCATGGGGTGTGTGGCAGATGGGGTGGGGAAAGGCTTTGGGCTTCTGAGAAAAATCAGACCGAGGCTTAAATCCTTCTGAAAATGTCCTTTTCCCTTGTAAGGCATATCCTACAAGAGAACTGACCGAACACCCTGACACGTCTGATGTTTACAAACAGGGATGTTCGGAAAGAAAAATGAAATCTTGGGCTTGGTCTTATACTCCCTGAAGGAGAGAGAAGTCAGTGAATAAAGGCCTGACTATGAAAATTCTTGCCTGGGACAGCCAAGTACCAGACCTGACTGACCCTGTATTTGAGAATGGGGGGCAGAAGGGTGTGAGACAAAGGGGTGCCTTCAAAGAGCTCACTCATTCCAGAGGGGGGACACAGACGCCATAATCCCTCTGACACAAGGCAGACAGCAAGCAGGGTGAGATGTGACCGGGCGGCCAGGCCCAGGCTGCCCAACACAGAGGTGATGGCAGCTTGTCTGGGAAGTAGCAATGGGGCTGGAGAGCAATTCCGGAAGGATGAGGGAAGTAGATCAACAGGACTTGGTAACCTACAGGCTGTGAGACAGGAGCGGGAAGGGGGAAAAGAAGGAGGTGAGGAGCGACTTCTGAGCTGAGCCAAGCCTTGCAGACGGGCAGGTCCTCCTCAGGCCGAGCAGGAGGCAGAGAAGGGGCTAGCAGCAGGGACAAAGCCTGAGCAAGGGCCCAGAAGAGGGAGGGCAGCCAAGGAGACTGACCACCAGGGTCAGGTCATGTGTGGCAGCCAAGAGGGAAGAAAAAGAATAAGTTAGGTATCAGTGCTTTATTTATTCCCTGAAAATACCCTGTCATCTTGATCGAGCATTCCATTTGACTGCAGAGATTTTTTTTTTTAAGATTTTATTTATTTATTTGAGAGAGAGAGAATGCGAGATAGAGAGCACGAGAGGGATGAGGGTCAGAGGGAGAAGCAGACTCCCCGCCAAGCAGGGAGCCTGATGCGGGACTCGATCCCAGGACTCCAAGATCATGACCTGAGCCAAAGGCAGTCGCTTAACCAACTGAGCCACCCAGGCGCCCTGACTGCAGAGATTTTTAAAAAAAACCTTTGGCCTAGATATTTATCATCATCTCTGACAGGTGCTGCAGTGTCTACAGGCCCCAGAGGGCTCTGGGTAATGAGTGTTAGATAACAGAGCCTGGGCTCCAGTCATTCAGGGAGCCAGAGAATGGAACTGAAAGCAACTCGTGGGTCACAATTCATCCCAGGGAAAAAACCCACAAATGAATCCAAGTCCAATTCATTGCCTCCACAGCATTCTCCACTCTGTGCACCAAGCAGGTCAGAACCTCAGTGGCTGCGAACGAATCGTGTGGATGGATAGCCCTCCCAGCAGAAGAGATGGTGCCGGACAAAGGGGGGCTGGCACGTGTGTAACTGGATGTACAAATAACGGCAGCCCTCTCCCGAACAGAGGGCTGCTCAGACAGATGACGCGGGGGGCAGAAGAATGGCCAACATCAGGACGAAGCCAGGCTCAGGCTTCCCTGTGCGCTTGTAGGCAAGTGACCATTTCTCTGGACCTCATTTTCATCATCAGTAATATGGGTGTAATAAGCCCCTTGTGTAAGCTGCTATCCCCATAAAGTTCAAATTAGATAAAAGTGCTAATTAAAAGCCAGAGATGACCATTTTTAACGAAAAGGCCCACCACCTCTAAATCTTGGCTATAACCAACAGCAACTTTGGGCTTGGCAGAATCACCCTCATAACATGCCCTCTGGAGAGCTGCAGTTATGTCAGTAAGTCCCTCCCAGAGATGACAAGGAGCAAAGGGGAAGCAATCCACTATGTAGCCAAATGAGATGCATGGAGGCCCAACACCTAATCCCCACCACCTTCCCATAGCTATCCCCAGGCCCTACAACCTCAGTACAGGGGACCCCGCTCCTCTGGCTGAACCAGGACGTCTGCCTAGTTCCCATCCTGGTGTGTGAAGCAGCAGCACAAGCCCCGAACAAAACTGCCACCAGCAGATGGGCACATCCTCACAGGATTCTCGGGACCATAGGGCCAATGTGGCTTTCAAACTGTGCCCAGCAAACCCTGCTGGGGGCCAGAGGGAAGAGAGAGGCAGCGCCCGCTCCACCTCAAGCTCTACTTGTAGCGTTTCCGTCCTGGACAAGCAGAGGTTCTCAACCCTGGCTGCTCAGTGACGTTACTAACAAGTCTTTTTAAAATGCTCATGCTTTGGTCCCACTTTGGACAGACTGAAACCAATTCTCTGCCAGTTGAGTTTGAGCATAAATATTTTAAACATCCTCATGGTGATTCTACTATGCAGCCAGGGATGAGAACCTTTCTGGCTAATGGGCTCTTCAGCTTAAAAAAAGAAAAAAAAGAAAACCATAAGTGACTTATTTCAGATATTCAATGCCCACTATGTGCCAGGTGCTGGGGATGCAAAGGTACACACATTTCTTTTCTATCTTATTACTAGAATTTCCATATCTACTTTCCTGAAGTGAATAAACTCAGGAGAGAAGGACCTGTGTGTGAGTCCATTTGTCACCACTAGCAATGCACTCAGCACTGTCCAGGAAAGTATTCAGTAGGTAAACCTAGGGTGTTTCTACAAGGTCACGGACACCCTCAGGAGACCTCAGAGACACTGCAATAAAGAGCCACCCAGAAGATACAAACTGATTTCAAGAACTACTTGGACGCTGGATACAAGATCAATGTATCCAAAATGTAGGCGTTCCTACACACCAACAACAACCAGTTAGGAAATATATCAGGAAGATTAGCTCACACACACACACACACACACTAGCCCCCCCCCACCCACACACACACAGTAGCAACAGGCACTGAATACCACAGAAGTTTCCTAAGTAAACTTAGCCCTGTAAGGGGAAAGAACCCCACCGCCAACAACCTATCAAACTAGGCAGATGACAGAAACTGGAAATCCAACCGAAACAAATGACTGAAGCATCTTTGAAAACATTCTGGGCCTAGCTACTAGTCAAAAAATACATATTCTTGTCTATCAGATTGGAAGAAAAATAAAGGCTGATAATACCCAAAGTGTCAACGAGGGTATGGGGAAATGTACATTTTCAATTGCTAGTGGGAATATAAACTGGAATAACGTAGAAAGGGCAAGTGGCTATGAAAAACCTTTAATGTGACTTTTGGTCCAGAGTAAATCCACTACTAAGACTCCTTGAGTCCATATAAAAATGCACAACATGGGTGATGAATATGCTTTGGAACCAGAGAGAGGAGGTAGTTGCACAACACCGTGAATACACTAAATGCCACTGAATTGTGCACTTCAAAATGGTTTTTATGCTATGTGAATTTCACCTCAATAAAAAGCTGTTAAAAATTTTAAAAAAAATGCCTCACAGTATGTGTATGGAAGTGTTCACTGCAGCAAGGCTGGATTCAATCTGAACATCCACCCACTGTACGCTAGTTAAGCATGATACTAATATATCCAAGCGGCTAACAAAAATGTCAGAATTCTACATTCCGATACAGAGCACATACTATGTTGTGAAGAAGAAAAAAAGACCTTGTAGAAGAGAATTCATATATTAGCCAAAAGCAAAACTAACCCCACCACCAAATATGGTTTTATGTATGTGAAGTCTGGAAGGATACACGCCATCCTGCACTTGTCTACCTGTGGGTACTTTTCTCTTTATAGATGTCTGTTATGGTTTATATTTTTTAAAGCACTGTTACTTTTTGTTTAAAAAAAAGAGGGGGGACAATTTTAAAAGAGTAAGACAAGCTCTTACTCTTAGGATGAGAGGCACAGACACCCTGGTAGTAATGAGCACAGTCAGAGCCGGGGACCAAGGCTCCCCAGAAACTGATTCCAGGGCTGGGCACCAGGGGTACGATGAGAAGAGCCTGGAACATCTTATTAAGTCAGAAATTACAAAAGTGTTCAACAAAAGCGTCAGGACACAGAAAGCAGCTTGAGGAGGCTCCCTCCCACTGGCCAAACCTGGAACTATTTGAGAACCAAAAACAAAACACAAAAGGAAAATAAGGAACTCTAAACCACCGAAAAAAATGGGAATCCATCAGTCCATAGCAAATATAAATACATATGTAAAATAACTGGGGGAGAAGGGAGGGCAGAGGAGGATATTTAAACATTCAGTCTTACGGTAGTATGTCTCCAGAAATCGCCGGAGTTGGAAGGGATAAAACAGTAACTATCCCCTTGCGAGTAGAAACCACCTTAAGCAAGTGTGCCAAACTCGCCCTTCCTCCCCCTTCCCTGCCATGCCGGGACGGGACGTTCCTCTTCCGCCAGATGGCCAACAGGGACCTGAGCAGAGGACGGCTGGGCTAGAGCAGACTGTTTCCGTCGGGCATGGGTGCCAGCAGTGTTCTGCACAGCGCCAGCGCTCTGCTCTCCCGGCTTGGGGCGGGGCACCTCGGGGAGCTGATCCTGTAGCCCAGGGCAGGCAGCGCTCCTGTCAGCCGTCCGACTCTCAGACCTGCAGGGCCCTGCTCTCAGTTTCCCAGTTCCTTGTCCCTCGGGGTGGGAGCTGTTTCCTATGAAGCTGCTTTAGGGTTTTTTTAAAACCCCTTTTAGTAGTTAGCCAATCTTTACCACAGTAAGCAACTGTTTCTGTCGTTTCTTGTTTACATTTTCCCCTCACTGCACCCTGAATGATACATCAGGTGATCAAAATGAACAGCCCCACGGCAGGGCAGATGACATCGTGTGCTCCTGATGTCACACCCTGAGAGGACACACGACACGGGTAGTGCTCCAACCACCTGGAATGCAAAACCTAATCTAATCAAGAGGGAACATCCGATAAACCCAAAATGAGTAGCAGCATTTAAAAGGGATCTTAATCTTCCAAAATGTCAATGTCGTAAGTGGCAAAGCTATGGCAATGTCCCAGATTAAAGGAGACCAAAGGGACAGGACAGCTAACTATTAACACCTGGTCCTTGACTGGATCCAGAACTGGAGGGGAAATGGCACAAAGGACGTTGTGAGGTTGGCTGAAACACAAACGGTGGGCTTCAGTACTGTGTTCAGTGTACTCAGTTAGAATATCCTTATCCTTAGGAAATCCCCACCGAAGTATTAAAGGCCATGATACTGGTACAGAGACAGCACACGCAAGAACACGAATGACAGGCTAAGCAGGGCAAAATGTGAATAGTTGAATCTAAACGAAGGGTTTGGGGGCCTTGTATGTAAAATTCTTATTCTTGTAATTTTTCTGTAACTTTGAAATTATTTCCAAATAAAATTAACTTTTAAAGAAAAGGCAACAGGATACAGTAGTGGTTCTCAGCCTTCACTGCTCTCTGGAAGCTCCCAAGGGACCCAGGCATCTGTAGTTCCCAAAGTTCTCTAGGTGATTCCGATGTGCAGACAACGGTTGGGAAAGTAGCACAGCCTGAGGGCTCATCCACTGAATTCAGACCTAGAAAGTGGCTCTTTTGCCCTCTGAAGAATAAGCACTGGGGACCAGAGTCTCAGGGTTAATACAAACTCCTAGCCCACCATTAAAGGGAGGAAGCTGCTCTTTCACCAGGCAAGCAGAGAGGAATGAGTAAAGGGGTGTGTAGAATTAGCGTCTTGGGCAAGTTCAAAGACTAGGCTAGGAATTGGCACATTTTCCCGAAGCAATTTCCTACTCTAGAGGCTCAGTTCTGCCGTGCAGAAAACATCAGTCCAGATATTGCTCACCCCAGGTCTAATCTGTGACGGGGCAGACACAGAATGGTACAATAGAAAACCGGAAAGGGGAGGAAGAGACAGGACTAGGGGGAGAAGGCGCTAGTGAAAGTCGTGAGGACAAGCAAAGCATCCCTGCCTGCTGTGCAACCTGTAGGGACAAGAGGGGGATGGGTCAGGGGACCTAGCAAACCACCTGTAGTTCTCAGAAGCCATGAATGTTTTAGTTAACTTCCGCTTCGTGAATAGGAGTTAGTTCTTACTCCTCTCTCAACACCTCCATTTTCAGGCAGGACAGACCTGCATAATTTCCCCCAAATGGACAGATCCAAACGGAATGTGAACCCATACCCCTAGATGTGGTCCTTACTTGCTCCCTAGCTCTATTCCTAATTGTTTCCTCAGCCGACTGAGCCAGAAACCTGGGCCTCATGCTAGACTCCTTCCTCTCCCTTCTCTCTGTCCCACATGCAACCAGTGATGGAATTCCACCATCCCCCTTCCCACTGCCACCAACCGCTCTTCTGCTCTCCCCCACACCACTACAGTCCTCTCACTGAAGCCCAGTCAAGTCCCTCTAATCATCCTCCCTACCGGAGCCACAGGGACATCCGTAACACGTCCACTGGCACCACACATGGCTGCCTCCACTTTCCACTGGACCTCCACAGAATGTAGTGGGACACCCCAGAGGACTTGGGCTTTGCCCCTTCAACTTCTTTTCCCAGCCCTGTATTTTAAGCTCCGGGCACAGCGAGCTACTTATAGCTCCCTGAACACTCTAGCCCATCTCACACTCCTGTGTGCCCTCTCCAACAAAGCCTATCTGAGTTCAGGCCTTTTCTCCAGGAAGTTGCCTCTGACCTCTCTGGGTACCTCCTCCGCACTCCCATTCTTTTGTTACTACAATCATTGCCCTGTATGGAAATTATCTGTTTCTGTCTATGTCTCCTATAACAGGACTCCACATTATCCTTAAAGGCCAGGAGAGCATCATCGCCATATGCCGGACTCATGCACATGCTTAAGTGTTCCATATTTGTAGGATATACTGGACTGAAAAGCATCTGTGGTTTTCTAGATCCCAAGGCCTTTAGAATTTGGCAACTGATATAATTAAAACACATGCAAATCTTGATGAACTGTAGACAGCACCAACATTTAAAACACTACACTGCTGCTTGGGAACTGTAAGTATCCCCAAATAATTACAAAGTACATGTTGAGGGGTGATACAGAGTTTATTGAATTAGATTTTTCTATTTACAACTGAGATCACATCTACATACTATTTTGCTCGTCTACATGGGTACATTAATCCTAACGAGTTTAGACTTACAATGGATGGGCTCAATCATACAAAAACACACACACACACACACTAATTGTTTTAAAACAGTAGTGCATACATTATACTCCTCCTATAAAGCCAGCTTTGATTAAAAACTGCTAGTTTCAAAAAACCAGTCTGATTTTGAAGATGAACCAAGAGACACATTGTATGATTCTAAAATCTATTTTAGCAATTTTATACAGTTGCTATCTTATTGGACTACAGTATATGTTTTTTTAAAAGGACACTGACGAGGGGCACAGCATCTGGTGTTAACTTTAACTGCAGCTGGCTTCCTTCCCCTCCCCCAAAAACCTTTGGCCCCGAGTTCTCCATCATGAAGACTGAAAGGGCCCAGTGATACTCTGGCAGCAGCTCTGTTACTGCGTGGAGGTCACAGAAGCAGGCCCAGGCCCTCCTTTGGTTCTCCCACACTATGCAACCTGCAAATGGTTCTGAAATGAGAACATATACTGCCATACTTAAAAACTTAGGGACATGGAGAGTCAGCTAGACTAGAGGAATAGAAAATCCTGGGTGGGTAGGGAAGTAGGTGGGCACATGAAGAGCCAAGCTGCTTTGTCCAACACCTGTGTGCTTTAACTAAATGAACGCAGGCTGCTAATGCAGTAGACCTGCTCAATTCACCTTCCAAATCAAAACAACAAGACTAAAAAAAGCTCAGGCTTGCATTTTCTACTATGCATAGGTTCCGCCGGTGATGAGGAGCTCATAAGCAGGATCTCTACTCCTTCTGCACAATACGATGCATGCACACAACATGCCCAGCAGCTGTGGGAAGAAAACAACAGGGGAAAAAAGAAGGCTGAAGGCTCTCTCATAGCAAGTGTGTATTTCTTGGTTGGCAATGGAGTGGTTTCAAAGTTCCACAATAACAACAGGAACAGAAGTAATTTCTAATGAATACATTAACTTTTTAGGAACCAACTTTTAGTTTCCCTGTCTCACACCTGAGAACAATAGGTGAAGAGCAGAGACACAAGACTCTCCTGCCATCCCCACTCTCAATCAACAACAGTGCTCTAAAAAAGAACTTCCTGCAATGATGGAAACATTCTATCAAACTGAGCTGTCAAACCTAGCCACTAGCCACAAGGGGCTACTGGGCGCCTGAAATGTAGCTAGTGCAACTGCCCAATTATGTTTCTTATTTTACGCAAATTAATTTAAACTTGGGACACATGTAACTGGCTAGTGGCTACCATACTGGACAACAAAGGTCTAGTGAGTGGAATGACCAAGACGATGTGTATTAAGGAAACTTACTGGTGGTCTTTTCAGACATCTGGATTTGGGGACACAGGCTTTATTAACAATCCACAAAATTCAGTACATGAATAGCCCAAAAGCCCTATGGTGGAAAACTAATCTTGATGCCAAAAAAATGGTTTGAAGGTTTTTGTCTCTTTCATAATTATTTACTATTTTTGAAATCCAGATTTGGTTCTGTATTACACACACATTATTTTTTAAAGGTCACTCTTCCTTCATCATTTTATTTTAATAAGCCCTAATCCTTCTGTGGCAGCAAACTGGAATTGTAATAAAGTCATGCCATGTTATTTTGAATAAGCTAGAGGATTACACTGGATTAAAGAGAAAATGATTCTAGAATTTTGACCTGGCTTCTTACAAAATATAAATAGTAACCAAAGAGCTAAATAAAAGTAAGTTAATTTGCTGTTCTAACTTTTCATTGGCAGTGAAAGGTCTCAGTTATTTGATTTTAAAAGGCAAGGCTTTCTGTACATATGGGGTCATTCAATTTCAACAAAATGTACTGGATCCATAAACAAGCTCTCAAAGTTTGCAGTGGAAGATTACTAATGAGACACAATACACAGAGAATACGGATGTCCTCAAACTGAATTCTCCATGGTATAAAAGTCACACACTCCAATTTCTGCCCTCAATTAGCCCATATTCTTTCTACCCATTCAGGATATATTCTTGCTGCTTAAATCCATCAGTTTCATTATATCAATATTTGCTAAGTGCAGTAACAGCACAAAGCACCTTGAAGACGTTTTAAAAGTGGATATTGTTAAATTTCAGTAAATATCTTTAGCCAGGTCTGGACATGTTTTGTATCTAATTCCTATAGAAATACATTTCCATTCACTGTACATCATCAAAATATTCTTAGAACAGCTATAAAATCAAACACAATTATGTTCCCAGGCAATGTTAAATTGAGCAATAAAAATGCTAAGCTCAGAAATTACTGATTTTCTGGAAAAAAAATCTCTCTTCCTATCCCACTTCCCTCACATTCCTTTCAGTTGGTTAACTTCTACTGAAGGAGTCAGCATTCTCAAATGGGGTCTGAAATAAGCATCATTTCTCTTCCTGACTTTTATTTCAATTAAGTCAACTTGTACCGATTTTAAAACAATTAAATAAGCTTGATAAAACCCTACTCATGCTTGAGAATGAGTCTGTTTATGAACATTAAGCTCTACACATTAACTTCTTACAGTCCAAACCTCATCACTAAGTACTATAGGCTCACTGCCAAAGCTCTGCTATACTGAAATTTCACTGATTATTAAAATTTTCCAACAATAGACTTGGAAATATTTTAGCTCCAGAGTTATTTCTTGCAATAAAAATTTTCCCTGCAATATTCAAGCCATGAGAACTAATCTGCACTTAGTCTAAATATAACACCAAGCAACTGCCAAAAATGATCGCTAAATAGAGGCAAGTGGTGATTAAAAAAACCGACTGCCAAGGATTAAAATGTTCTAGAATATACTATGTAGGGGGCATTATGGGAAAATAGGTATTGCTATACAAGGTTTTGAAACTGCACACTGGAAACACCCTTTTCTGAGAAAAATGTGGAAATACCTATCAAAAAGCCACTGACTCTTCAACTTCGCAGCTATAGACTGTACGTGCATACAGAGGATATTCACTACTTGCATTTCTAGAATAGCAAGACTTATATAAGTGCCCATTAATGTAAATTAGATAAATTATAAAGTATGCCCCAAAATGAAATACTACGCAGCCACAGTAAGACATAAGAAAGAACCAAAGGTTACATACCATATGGTTCCATTTATATATTGAAATGACAAAAATTTTAGAAACGGAGAACAGATTAGTGGTTGCCAGGGTACGGGGGGAAGAGGCATAGGATGGAAGTGGGTGCAGTTAGTTACAAAAGGGTACTAGGTAGAATCCTTGTGGTGTTAGAACTGTTCAGTGTCTTGATTGTGGCAGTAGATACAGGAACCTACCAGGTCATAAAACTATACAGAACCGAATATACAAATAGAAATGAAAAATCTGAATAAAATTGGTGGATTATATCAGTGCCAATACCCTGGCTGTGATACACAAAACAAAACCTAGTCATTCAAGAATTACCTTCCCAAGCCTTGGTTTAAATTTTTAAAGAAGAATTACTTGAAATATTTCTTTAAAAGCGTGTCAGAATCAACCCACTAGATTTTAACTATCTGGGGGCCCAATCTGAAGTGTTATTCACTAATGTATTTTAAGTCATTTTAATGAATATCTGGCAATCAAGAAGCAGGAAGGAAATAGCAGGCTCAACCTCATTCACACTTGGCATATAGACCAGAAAAAAGCAACATGGCTTTGGGAAACAGTCCTCTGTGAAAGTTTGCTCTTGATCACTCTATCTTGAGGACATGCCAAATTCATGAGACTCCAAAGACATCAGATAATTCCCATTTTTCCCCATACTGTTTTTTTTTAATTTTTAAATTTTATTTTTTTAAAGATTTTATTTATTTGACAGAGAGAGACACAGCGAGAGGGGGAACACAAGCAGGGGGAGGGGGAGAGGGAGAAGCAGGCTCCCTGGGAGCCCGATGTGGGGCTCGATCCCAGGACCCTGGAATCATGACTTGAGCCGAAGGCAGATGCTTTAAGGATTGAGCCACCCAGGCACCCCTCCCATACTGTCTTTGCAGAAAGCCTTACTCACAGCAAGATACTTAAGAGACTGCCAAATCCAAACCTAGATTTTTGTCTATTATTATGACCAGATCTTTTAGATATAAAATTCCTAATTGATCATTTGCTAATTTAAGAGGCTGGCTATGCTCACAGAAGTCAAATATCTTGGTGATTTTAAAAAGCTAACAAAATAAAGAGGTGCCTAGCTGGCTCATTTGGTGGAACATGCGACTCTTGATCTCGAAGTTGTAGGTTCAAGCCCCATGTTGGGTGTGGAGATTACTTAAAAGTAAAATTAAAAACGAAAGCTGACAAAATAGGGAATGTAGCAAAATTTTAAAATCTTTCACATTAAAAAATCCTGTTGTAACAATTAACTACTATTTTTCAGGGTTTTAACTTGAACATTTTGGTCCTACTCAAACCTAGATCACTTAACTAGACTAGAAAAAGGGTCAACAAGTGTATTCTTAAAGGGAAATAGTAAATATTTTAGGTTTTGTGAACCAAGAGACAAAATCAGTCTCTGTCACAACCATGCAACTCTCACTGTAACACAAAAACAGTCACAGATAATACATAATTGAGTGTGCCTAACACAAAAAGAGAGAGTGGGCTAGACTTGGCCCATTCGACCTACAGATGGCTAACACGTGAACTAGAACCTTCTATTGGTCAATTAGGTTTATGAGAAAAATTCCTCAGGGCGCCTGGGTGGCTCAACTAGTTAAGCAGTTAAGCGGCTGCCTTGGGCTCAGGTCATGACCCCAGGGTCCTGGGATTGAGCTCCCGCATCAGGCCCCCTGCTCAGCGGGGAGCCTGCTTCTCCCTCTCCCTCTGGCTTGTGCTCCCCATGTTTGCGCTCTCTCGCTCTCTGTCAAATAAATAAATAAAATCTTAAAAAAAATGTCTTCTTAAATTCACCTTATGCCTTAGAACTTCAATAAAATGTAGCTTAACACAGTGCCATAAATCACACTCAAATTCAAAAAAGACAATGCTTCCAACAGTTTTGATACAACACTACCAAAAATCATCTTTCAATCTTTAACATTATTTTTTTTAAAGTTTTCTTTAAGAAATCTCTACACCTAACATGGGGCTCAAATTCACGACCCCAAGATCAAGAATCACATTCTCTTCTGACTGAGCCAGCCAGGTGCCCCTAACATTATTTAAAACCATACTTCCTATGACAGCTCTTAAGAGCTTTCCCACTTTAGAACCTGAAGGAAAGTGCCAATGATATTTCAATGCTATCATACTGTGTATTTTCTTAAGCTGAAGTGCCAAGTAATTGTCTGGTTTCATAACAGAATTGGAGAATTTAATCTTTTGAGAACCTTAATTCTTCACTTTGTAATTGGAGGCAGAGTACAAGAGGCCAGGGTTCAAGCTTCACTGATGGTCATTAGTCATACTATCTTTGTCCCCCTGCCCCCTCATTTTCATGGCCTTTACAAAGGAAACAGGGACTAGAGACTCTCCAAGCGTCCTTCTAGCTCTTTCTCTATCAGGATGGGCATACAAGCATAAGAGATCACTGATCTTTGAGCTGTTTTTGCCTTTGCTCAGGTTTTCCACACCAAGGACACCAATCTAAATCAGATTTTGAGTATCAAAAGTTCAGAACATTTACAGGCACTCTTTTAAAAAAGAAAACATTAGGGAAAATTCTTTCATTATTTCAAATGTATGTTTTTTCCCTTAAAACCAAAGTTTTTAAATTTTCAAAACCACTAAGTTTTGAGTCTGTGAAAGCTCTGAATCCTTTCCTGAGTTTTGCTGAACTGAACATATCAAATCTTTATCAGCCATTACCTAAATCAGGGTGATTTAAGTATAAAATGCATATGAGAAGGCATACATAAATTAAGACACTAGTTAAAATATTTATTAGCCCCCACTGAAAAATATTTAATGAAGCACTATCTACCTGGTTAATAAGCGTAACTAGATGAGGGACATAGCTAAAGTAACGATTTTCATCAGTCTTCTTTATACATGCTGCATATTTCACGATCACAAGCACCTTACAGTTTCAAAGCTTTTTTGCTGCATGCTAGTATGTGCTGATTTATTAACACAAATAAAATCATTAAGAATGCACAGACCAGGATTTCACTTGGGAAAAAAGACCTCCCTTATGTTTCATTATTTTTAGCTAAATGCATGTGTTTGCACAGACAATCAAAATATGAAATACATGCCTCCTGATCAACATATTATTGCTATGCTGAGCCACAAAGTAAATGCTTAGAAGGGCAGAGACCATAGCAAATAAAGAACTAGGCTTTTTAATGAATCATTTCAGGGCTGTTTGCATACCAGCAAAGTAAACAATCACCTTTTTGCCATTTTAAAAGGCATTTCCCATTAAATACACTAGCTTTTGTTCAAATATACAGAGAGCAGGCAATCCAAGCAACTTACACTTAAACTAGCAATTACACTGGTTTTATCTAACAGTTAAAAGATACCTACACTTTCTTAAAATAGATTCTCTAGGCCTGAAGCATATTTCAAGAACTACCAAAAGAACACTCTGAGAACTAGATCTGACACAAAGGATTCTCAATCATTCCAAACAACTGGCTATTCTCAGTTTAAGATTCCTCTAACATAATCCCCAAGATATATTGTATACACCCGAGAAACTAGCAATGTAGGTGTACTGAGCAGAAAAATAGCTGTCTTTCTTATTTGTTTTCAGGTGAGGGAGGGAGGAAGGAGTAGATAAAGTGAGAGGTAATTAAACAATCACCAGCTACTCTGCGCATGCCATTATTAGGTAGGAAAAAAACTGTTTTCACTGGTAGGAGTTGGGAAAACAAGTGCCCTCAGCTACCCAAATGGCATGGTACACTTGCAGAGGTGCCAAGTGATGACACGGACTCCGTGATGGCTGTCAGTCTAAAAAAACTAAGTCCACAAATACAGAATAGGTTAGAACCTCAGTTTTCACTTGGTCTTTTCTATAAAGCAATGAAACTGCTTCTATCAGTTTAAGTGACTAGTGCTGTAGTACCAGTTCTTGATTTACATATATAGACATATAAAACCCTTGAGGACAGAAAAATAAAGAGCCAGAAGTAGTACAAAAAGATTGAAAAAAAGCTTTCCATTTCCAAAGTGAAATAAAGCAGTACAATTGTTAAAGATTCTGTTAAGTTCTATTAAAATACCTCCCAAGAATACACTGGGACTGGGAACAGTATGTATTTTGAGCACGCCACTCACTACTCTGAATATAAAGCAGAGTCCCCTCAAACACAGTCCCCACACCCAGATCTCTGGTTTCTTGGAACCATTTTGGGTCTAGGTCTAGAGACAGGAAACGGAAGATGTTGGAAACTGGTGGCCTGTTCCTCAATCACTTCCAAGTTATCTATATACACAAAGTTTTAACTGCACTTAATGATTAAAACCATTCATGGCTGACACTCGGATAACAACGCATCGGCTAGCTGCACTTACCTGAAT